ACTCCCTTTGCTTTAAGTGTAGCTTTATATATCACATTAAGCAAAAATCTAAATTTATAACTCTCAACTGTAAATAAAAATATGTTTTTCCTTTATTGTTCAGTTCAAAAAAGGAAAGAATCTCCACAACTGGCTCATAAGACAGGACACAAGAAAATCAATTCTTGCTGCAATGCTAGTGTTATTCTGATCATATGAAAGCTGTCATGCTAAACTTCACTCACAGATGCAAATAATTTCTACACATATATAAAGAGAATTGGCATTAAAGCAGTCTGTGCGGTTTATCCCCATTTTGTTAATATCACTGAAAATTTCCGTGGTTACTAAATCTACTGATTCAAAATCAAATTAAAGTGTATAATAGTTGTTTTGTTCCCAATTTTAAAATTGTATTATTTTTATTCCAAGGGGGAGAGTTATAAAACCCTTTACATTTCTGTTGTCATTTCAAAGTTGATTCTGTATGTGTTTTTTTAAAGCTATAAAAAGTTCTTCTATCACATGTATGTGTTACTATCAATACCATTTCAACTAAGTGCTAGTGAGTAAACGGAACTGATTAAATATCTCACAATTTCCCAAATGTAAAACCATATGAGGCAAAAAAGAGCAAACAAACACTATACAGAGTTCAGGAAAAAGAAACACCTTTATTCAGAATTTCAATAAGTGTTATGTACCTTGAAATTAAAATACAATTGAATTGACTGTAACTGTAAATATGGCAATACAAACACACATATAAACATGTATGTGGTGCGTTTTTGTGTGTATACTGTATATCAATAGCAAATGTACAATACATACAGCTATGTGCAAGTTCACTTTTTGTACATATATATGAAAGTCCAAAATGTTCATCCCCTAACGGCAACCTCTCACACAGGACTTGCATGTCCAATTGCAAGTGCACATACATACATGTCACCATTGCACTACAACAGTTTACCATGGATTAAAGCATTTCCTTTCTTTCATTTTTTGATAATGAATTTGCATTGGAAACCTTGCAGCAGAAACAGTTCACAACATCTCACTGAAAATCTGTGAATCTGAAGATAAACCGTCGGATGTCATGTGCAGATTAACTCCATCTCTGTCTTCAAGGTGCCTTATTTCTTCTTTGACTTGAACTTGTCAAATTAAAGACAGTCTTTTTTTAGGTAAGACTGCTCAGTTTCAAGAGAAAATCTTTTACCCCCATTGTTAGATTTTTTTTTCTAAAAACTGTTTAATCTTTTTTTTAAAGTACCAAGTACTTGACATTCAAAATTAAACTAAATTAATTCTAGAAGAACAAGAAGTAGCAATGAGGTAGAAATGTTTGTAAAAAATGTCAGACTAAAACACTGAGATGGTATAAACATTTTAAGTTGATCTCAACAAGAAATGTAATTACAGAAAAATTGAAGAAAAGTTGAAGTGATTGACTTGGGATTGCTGTGAGACTTAATGTGCTTTTCAAAAGTTTTGCTCAAGTGTTTTGACTGTAGGTCCATTCATGATATACATCTCAATAATGACTGTTTATTTCAAATGATAACATCTACAACATGATAAATATACACTACCGTCTGGATAACCGTGTAATTGGTTTTGTAAGTCTCTCCATTGTTTGTTTGTCAGCAAAACGCATCTCACATATTTTTAAATCCTACCTGTCAAAGACCCATGTCTGTCTTATTTCTTTTTAGCACAGGGAAATGTTCCAACAGAGACAAAATGTAGCCAGGTAATTCTTCTGCAGCAGTATATGACAAACGGGTTGTGACCGTAGTAAAGTCGGTTGGAATGGATGAGATTGACAACCACCGAAGCATAAGAATTTATGAGTCCAGACATGAGACTCCAGTTGTCTTCCATATTTGCTTTGATGTCCTTTTGTCTACTACTGAGTACATTGTAAAAAGGTAATTGGTTAAAATATGCAAAACATTTTGGTTAGCTATAAATCACACAGGGAAATACAATACATTTTAATACGGAAAGCTTAGCTAAAAGTTTCCATTTTGCCATGGTCACGCAACCTAATCTGTCCTGGTAGATCCAAAGAGGAAATGTAGGGACCACCCTCTGCATTTAAAACCACTACAGCCAGCTGTCAACCAGGTGTTGGGAGTATGTAATGGGAGTATTGTAAAGTTACATAGAATTGTTTCTTTTCATTTTTTTTACAGAGACATAAAAAGTTCCAATCTGTGTTGAGACCTCTTGTTCAGAACATTATTAGCATTGCTTGATTTAAATATCGAACATTCCCCATTTCGCTTAATTTCTTGAACCAGAAATATAAAATGCTAAAATGCATTTGCCTTTGAGTGTGACAAACCGGACAACCCACTAATTATGAGCTATGCACATAATTGTATTGATATGTATAGAAAGGACTCTTTAAACACTTATTGTAAACTGAGTCTGAAACTAGACTTTGGCTAACAGGAAAAAAAGCTTGGTTGATCTTTTTGTGTTTTTTGGGTTGCAAGAAAAATAAGGTATTTTTGTTCATATTTTGCTGTCCGACAAATGGGAAGTTCACTACACCAACAATGTGACCAAGAGGTGACATCACATTTAATTTGAATTCAGAGAGTCCAGAAAAAGTCTTTATATTGAATAAATTGTCCTGTTTTCAAAATCAATAATTGGCGCAGTGCTTTTGACAGTGCTGTCATCATCTTACGACAAAAGTGTTGGGTCCTTTTTTTTTCTAGCAGCAATTCAGATGTTGTATTACTGTTACCAATACTGAAACATCTTTTGACATTAATCAATGTGCATTAATATGCATAAATACAAACACCAAAAACAAGCCAAAAAAGTCAAAGATATGAAACTGTCAACACACGTTGTATAAACGGACTTTCATTAAAACCAAAGCCTTTTCGTGGGTTCAGGTCTTCACACCTCCCTACAGTGCTTCCTACCTTAGTGCGAGTGCTTTGCTTCTTTTATAGATCTGAGGACAGAATACATTCAATAATTCTTGCCAGTTCAGCCCCTCAGCCTGGATCTTCTTTCAGAAATCAGAAATGCTCCATGGAAATGTACTGATTAATGGCAATAGAAAATATATGTTAACTTCACAGTAACAGCAGAAATGTGAAAATTACAAAAAGCAACAAAAATAAATGTTCTTAAAAAGGAATGCCACTTTTGATTAATGAAATTAAAAGTACGGTCTTCCAAATCAGGTCAATTCTTGTTAATGCTGTATGTATCAACAAGATGTATCTTACAGATTCTGGGATCTAACATGATAAATCAGCAAGATCTACTTGTAAATTCCAGCTGATAAAGATCAAATTGTCCTAAGGCAAAGGCATAGTGTGCAATTTGCTGTGGTATTCCCTTTTAAGTGCAAAATGTGGAGAAGAAAAGGAGCAACTGACATGAAGAGCTAACCGATTTGGCACATAGAAAAATATTGTTTGGTCTTCTCCCATAGTGTATCCTCAGTAAGCATGCAGAGTATGTGGGGATATTTTGCTGTCTCTGTGAATTTATCTTTCACAGATAAACAAACTGACGTTGTAAGGAACTTAGGCCTTACATAATCCTTAGGTTTCATTAATGATAAACAATAGCAAGATAGAGCGAAATAGCTTGGGGCCACTGTCTACCTAAACCTCAAGATGTTTGTCTGCACCTTTTGAAATTTCTCTGCGCAAAGCACCACCAAAAGGCTGAACAGTGTGAGAAATCAGAAAACTGAACAATGCGATCATTGTTTTGATGTAAATGAGGGTTCTTCTTGTTACAGCCGACAGGGCAACACAAGTTCCAAATGTTAATGCTCTCAAGGTTACAATTTAATCTACTAAATGTTTTTTTTCTCAATCTAAAGAGAAATACCGAATCATAAAACCAGTTTCCTTTTTAAAAAATGTTAAGATTGATTTAAACAAACTGATTTCAGGCCTTTCAAAACCAAAAATAAAAACTCCATACCTTCATACATTCACTGTAGTAACCTTCTCCTTTTGAGCTTTTTGAGGTATTATAAAGCTTTTTGAGTTTTGATGCAACTTGAAATCCAAGCCAAATGCTTGTCGAACTAGTCTAGCTTCAATTAAAGCCCATGAGGTACTAAACATCAACATCACATTCCTGAGTTTTCAAAAAGAGAACATCAAAAGAAAACATGTAGAATTTCACAACGTGAAGTAATTACTATAACACTATCTTGACATGAATTACATTATAATTTTTTGTTTAATGTAAAGTTACTTTTTAAGTTAACTTATTTTCTTTGAATCAACAGAGGAAAGGGTAGTATATCGAACAAATGTAAGTTTGCTGTATAAAACAAATCACTCTTCCAGGCAAAAAACAAAACAAGTAAGTGTATCAGTGTGTATTGTAATCAAATGACTTACACACACGCAAAACCTGCGCATGATAATGAAGCCCAACAGAAAAAATTATGCCAATAAATTTAATTCAGCTCAAATTAACCACAGCTGTTCACAGAGAGCACAAAACAGACATAGCTGAGAAACATTGTTCCAATGAAAAAGGTTTTTTGTCTTTTGTTACATTGTAAAGCTTTTTTATGTTATCACATATCAACAATGGAGATTGTGAAGCAAAACACCAAAAAAACAAAAAAAACAACTTTAACAGCACCATCTCAGGCACTTAATTGCAACAAAATCTCATGATCAGCAGTATCTATCTATATCTATATATATGTATATATATATACATATATATGTATACATATATATTTGTATATATATTTATATACAAAAAATGGACATCCTTTACAGGCTCTTTCAGAGAACACATGGCCAAAGCCAAGAAAAATGCAAAAGTGATCAACTATTGTGTGATTTTCAGACTGTTATCCTGAGTCTGAAAACTGTGAGGGTAATCATGTTTCTTTGCAAATATTTTCACATCATGTGTGTTTTTCTCTTGATCACTGAGGGCCAAACACTTATTTATATGCAACAACTGAGTTTAAAGAACTTGTGTCCCACAGGTCTCTGTCATTGTCATTGACTACAGCCAAACATTTTATTCCACTCTGTGTACATGTCAAGCTCTTTCTGTGATATGCTGGACTGGAACTTGCAAAATACATTGTCAAAGTCTTGGTAAGAGACTGGTCTCATCTGACCCGGATGAATGTTTGACAGGTCAGCACCAGGCATGCCATGAAGGGGACCAACTAGTGCCTCTTGGCATAACTGGGCCACATCCAGTCCAGCAAATCCCTCTGTCCTTTGAACCAGCAGTGACATTTCTTTGTCACTGAGACAGTAGTTGTGCATTGAGAGCAGTTGGCTGATTATCTGATGGCGTGCTGTTCCATCAGGCAAGGGAATGAGCAACCGCTTTGTAAAGTATCTCCGTAGGCTCTCAGGGATCTCTTGAGGCTTACTGGTAGAGCAGACCACAAGAACATGGTCCTCAGCAGACGTCAGAGTGCTGTCGAGCTGTATGAGGAGCTCTGCTTTCAGGTGATTCACCGGACTCTCCTCACTAAGCTGGGCTGACAACAGCAGATCCACATCACTGATGAAGATGACTGCTGGTTGGCGACAGCGAGCAACAAGAAAAGAAGCCTTAATGATCTTGTCTCCTTCCCCTAGCCACTTGGTCACCAATGCTGAGCTGCTCAGTCGTAAAAAAGCAGCTCCCAGCTGACTGGCCATGCAGCGTGCCAGCATTGATCTACCAGTTCCCTGAGGTCCAAACAAAAGGAGGCTACGAGGTAATGTGGCAAGTCCATTAAACATATCAGGCCTTAAAATAGGCCATAGTATCTCCTCTTTAATTGCTGCTTTGGCCATATCCAAACCGGCAATGTCACTCCAGTCCACAGGAGAACCTTGCTGAAGGATTTCTGTGGTCACCATCTCTACCAGGTTGGAATCACTGTTCTTCAGCTGTTCTTCTGCAGCATGGATGGACGAGGTAGCCATAGCAGTTTCAGGCCCTGTAAGGGAGTGGGACAGGTGCTGTCTGTGCTCTTCGGTTTGCTCGCTCATGATGGGAGAGCCAAACTTGCGGTAGGGCTCACCAGTTCTGAGATCCCCCGCAGAGCTTTTGGTTGATCCATAGGATGGTGGAGTTAGTGCTCTTCCAGGATGCAACTTAAATTTTCTTGGCTGGTCAGAGGACATTGGTTGTTTGTTTGGCTTAAAACCTAAAGACGATGCTTCACTACTTCTTTCAAAACCACTGCTCCTGTTTGAGTCTGACGCATTGCCGTCTGCTACTAAGTACATTGGACTATGTGTGGAGCGTTGTTGGCTGTAGTTGAAATTACCATAGTTTGAGTCCATTTCTCCATGGCCACTCATGTAGAAAGCTTTTCGTTTTAATGAGTTGGATGTGCTGCCATTCAAAGGAGTAGGTGCAATAGGTGTATGATTATGGGACTGGTAGGTGTAGCCAGGTAGTGTGGAGGAAGGTATTGGTGTAGGGGCTGCAATACCAGATGGGAGGTAAGCAGAGGGAGGGGGTGCTCCCCCAGGGCTATAACCAGGACCCACAGCAGTCTGTGAGGCATACCCTGTTGGAGGATAATTGTAGTTGGGCAAGTTTGGAGAACCAGCATTGTAGCTCGGCACTAAAGCAGGGGGAGGCGGCGGGGGAGGGGGTTGTAACAACCCAGCACTGTGCAAAGGAGAGGGGTGTGGAGAGGGAAGGGCAGGGGTATTCTGGCTGCTGTAGCTAGAATGAAGATAGGAGCCACTGTAGCTGGCAGTGTATTCCTGAGAGGGGAGGCCCGAGTGAAGAGTGGTGGCTGGGTGACTCCCACAGTTACTGCTGGAATAGCTGGGCTCAGACAAGCTGCTGGCTACCCCCGGGGAACTGCCTATGCTAGCCGACGCATCTGTAGGGGGTAGGGCAGCTGTCATCCCAGCTTTGCTCACAGATATAACATCTGGAGCACAGTTCATCGAGTAAATCCCTTCCTGCCAGGCCTCATTCTCTGACTTTCGTCCATTCATGAGTCCAGTGGTGGTGTTATCGGAGTAGGAGCACAGCAGGGCTCTTTCATTTGGGCCCTCTAAGATCCCGGAGTACTTCTCTGCATATTTCTTGAGCAGATTGGAGGCAGTCAGTGCAGAGATGTCATCATTTGCCCACGCATACTGGTATGTTCGCTGTAAGTGCCCCCGGTAGGCTTCCACTTTGTGAGCCGGCGAGCGGGTAGTGGATGAGATGTCAAAGTGTTGTTCTGCCCATTGTGTGTGCTCAGGGGTCCACTGCATCTTTAAACCTGGATATTCCGCATAAGGGAGAAAAATGTCAAAGTGAGCCTTAAACACTATTCATTATCATTTAAAATCAGAGATGTTTTAGAAAGACAAATAAGTAGCATGTTTAAATACTAAGAGAAAAGATTTGAAATATTTTTCTACCCCTTTCAAAGAAGAATGGATGGATATCACAAATAAAAAAATGGAGGAACTTTCTTTTATCTGACAAACTGCCAACTCTAACTGGATTCACATCATGGTCAGTGGGAGGATGCAGGACCAAACACCTGGTTACTGTGGCGTAATCCACCCAGCGCGGAGCAGAATGACACAGACATTGCAGGTCAGTCTATAATCCAACTCTCATCTGAGGCATTCTGAGACAGTTTCAAATCTGCTTGGAGGAGAGTAGCAAAGCAATCTTCCCTGGCAGCGCTCTGTTGCTTTCATCACACAAAGCCCTCAGCCCAGCATGAATTACATCCACATCGAGGCTGTCTACTGCTTCCTTGTCGACAATAAAGAGAAAGAAAAGTAGAAAAAAACATGCTTCCCTTGTCTTTTACTCTGCAGCCTCACTTAGTCTCTCAATGCGGCCTCAAACGTTTGAATGATGGAAATAATCATGATAAATCCTAAAGTCAATATGAAAATAAAATTTTTCCTCATGCTGTCATCTTTTCCTTTAGGATTATCATTGAAAGTGCTGCACCCCGTCAAGAAGAACAGCGTATAGAGTCTTACAAATCTTTCAGCACTAATCTGATCAAAAGCTATACAAAGATATGAGAAAGCATGCAATTAGGGAACATTTCCTGCCTGTTAAAATATAGCTGTCTTTGTTAAGCTGCCGCTAAACTACTCTTCTCCATACTTAAGTAGGTTAAGTCCATGTCACAGGATTTAAACAACAAACAGCTACTGTCCAGAGGCAGATTACAAATGCAGTGTTTGTCTGTTGATTCCCTTTCGACTCCCTCCTTGCCATTTTCCAACGCGCCACACTAGACACCAGCAGCTAATTAGCGGGATGATGCTGCACTAATTGTGTTAATTTACAAGGTTTTAGTCAAAGAGATCCATGCTATGGCTCACATAGTTGTCAACCATCGAAGTTAATGATTAAAGGGGGAAGAAAAAAAAGATAGAAGCCAGAGATATTAAATCTGTGCATAAGAATAAGGTAGGCGTTTCCATGAATAAACTGGTGGCAAAACTGTGAAATGCTTAACTATATTTAAAACTTTTTTGTATAAAAGCTGTGACAGATACACTGCTGAGATTATAAAAAGTAGTTACTGATTAACTTATTGTATTAGTCACACACTACATTCTAAGTCAGCAATCTTTTTGGCTTGTAGTTGGGTGTTTTAAAAAAGTAAGAGATTTTAAGTTTTAATATATTTTTTCAGTGCAGCATAATATTCAGTAGCTTTTTTTGTAAAAACTGTAGAAAAGGAGAAAAAGGTCCATACAGTTATTACAGTATTGGGGAAATAGCAACTAGCACCCTATTGTCTGCCAAGAATTCCATCCATTACTGACACAGCAACGAGAGTAGCAAGATAATGGCTCTTATAAAAATCATTCACGAGAGTTCCTTAACACTCAAGGCCCATTTTGTCAATAACAAAATTGCACGTAGCTCACACTGAGTAAGATTCTTGTATTATGAAATACTCTCTGAGCCACATACCACTTTGGACTATCGAATAGGAGCTACTTGCAAAGTGTGCTTGATCTCACTGAGTATCAAATGTTTCCAACGATCATTCAAGGTAATCAAAACACAGTACACTGCTTGTTTAAGAAGAAAATGATTTGCCTTGAATAAAAGGTCTTAAAAAATGACATCCTGCAGTGTGGTGAGTGAGATTATGTTAGATAAAAAATTCTGTTTTACGAAAACTAGTGTCTTCATCACATTTCTTGCTATTCTTAGTTGTCTGAGGGAAAAAAATGTGGAAATCCTATTTCTTATCTTGAGATGATTCTACATTAAGTGTGAACACGATAACACGTAATTAAACTTGTTTTATTCAAGTTACTAATTCCAGGAGGTGGAATATTCACTCGAACCTTCTATATATGCTGTTTGAAAGAAATATATGTTTGATATCAAACATAGTTAATTAAACACAGAAATACATTAAACACACCGCATCCACAATTTTACATCTGCATACACACTATTTAATCACAACGGGCTGGTACTTTTTCACTGTTGTGAAATGTGCTCTTTATTCTGACTGCATAGAGTCTGAAAAAAACGTCTACAGGTTCCTTTGTCCTTCTTTAAAGTGGTATGATTACAGAGCATACAACTGGTGGAATGCGCTCAGATTGCCTCAGGACATGAGCTCAAATTCCACTGATCAGCCATCAACAAATAAAGCCTTTGTTGGGCTTTTTGGTATTTTTAAATTCATGGCTTTAATTAATCCCAGAGGTTAAAATTTTAAGACAATTTTTTTTCTTCAAATTGTGGCCAAATTGTTTTTTTTGTAAAATAATAGATTTCCTGCAAATATTAGAAAAGAAAATCTCTTTTGTAAAATACACACGAAATCAACACTTGTCTGACAATCATTGTCATCTATTGTGCATAGCATTTCACACTCGCATGTGGAAAGAAGCAGCTGAGCTGAAAGCTTTGGACATATGATGATGTCATGTGTCATTCTGCCTTGTGGTGTATAATTTCTGGTTCAGTGATCATCATCGATGAAACAGAGATGCTGACCTTTTTGGGAACTATTAATCTGGTAGCCCAGGCCATTTTTAAGCAAACAAGACTGGGCCTCCACTCTGTCCATCCAATTTCCTTGCGCGTAAATTGGACCACCGCTTGCACAATTCTCTATTCATTACAGTGCTGCTGAAAGGAAGCACAGAGGTGGCAGAATGGTTTTTCTTTCCCTTTTTCTCCGTATGTGCGTATGGTGTGTGCGTGTGAGGGAGAGGGAGAGGAAGAGAGAGAGAGAGAGTTGAAGCAAAATGCCTTCCAGGAGGTTCCCAAGCATAAAGAGCTGGACTTTCCTTTCCCCCTTTTGCTTTTGGGGGAAGGGAAAGAGGGTGTGAAGGAGGGGAGTACGGGGTGAAAGCTGTCTTAATTGAAACGCGGCCTAATCAGACTCATTACCATTTCTACCAATTTGCACCATCAAAGATGCTTATTGGGTAACTGTGTTTAATAAGCCACGCTTTAGAAAACTAACTGTAATGAGCTCTTTAAAGTCTGACTTAGGCGTGATTACACCCTGAAAACTCAAACTAAAGCGGACTGGTACATTTAACCATGTACAATGTCACAATTAAGCTGCACAAACTCTGCACTTCACACCACACAATAGTTCCAGCTGAGGCAGTAGACATACAGAAAAGTATTTATAATTACTGATCATTACAACCCTGGGATTCTCAGAGCCAGACGTAAACATAATTATGGGAGCATTTGCTCTTATTCTGCACACACAGAGCTCTCTGCTTGACAAGCGTGCAAATATTGCAGACAGACAGTAATTATGTTTATAAATAAAAACAAGCTCATATTCATATTCAAATTCACTGGAGATAGTCTTTGTTGGGGTGGGGCGTAACCATCTAATACATTGTGAAATGTAATCGGTATAGCTACAGAGTCATTCATCTCACATACCAAGTTAAGACTATTTAAACTCAATTTAGAGCTCCACATGGCAGTAATTCCTATCTTTGGATGGCAGGGTGCCATTTAACCCCTCATTTAGGAAAGATATGCCTTCCTCAGTCACTGTCTTATCCAAGGCAACTTCCCGTACATTTCACAGTCTTGCCATCCATGGAAGCAAATTACATGTCCCCATGCTTTCAAAGTCCACTGATCCCAGTGGATTACATTCTAATCAAAGGTGGAAAATGACTGTGAAAGCATGCTGCTATACTATGTTTATTGTAGTTAACCTGCCAGTTAAGCAAATAACACCCTGTGACAATACTCTTTTTTGTGGTCCCAACAATACTTCCGATCATATAGTAACATAACAACCTTAATTTGCTTGTGGATACATGTTTTGGATAAATGGAACACTGTAGAGATGCATTTTGGTTTAATTTTAAAAACCCACTCATACTTAGAGGCAGTGTTGGGTAAGTTACTTTAAAAATGTAATCCGTTACAGTTACAAGTTACCTTGTTTAAAATGTAATTGTAGTGTAACTTTTTCGATTACTTTTAAAAAGTAATGTAACTAATTACTTTTGATTACTTTTTGATTACTTTAAGGTTTTAATGAGTATTAACCCATGATTAATTTTAGCATGTTATTATTAGCTATTGGCTGCAGCTAGCAGTTCAAGGCTAACGTCTTGTTAATGATCATAAACATCGTAAAAAAATACATAAATAAACCGGACACAAGGGGCGCAGCGACGGCAGGTCAGTCGTATCCGGATACAACATTTTAGTATCTATACTTTTTTAAATATCGATACTTTTGACAACCCTAGTCTGAAATGTAGGACATGTCCTGGAGAAAGAGGACGTCTGGTCACCCTACAGTTGGCTAGGCTAGGCTAGGCTAGGCTAGGTAGGCTAGGCTAGGCTAGGTCATAGACATCGATAAACGTTTGTCATGCATCAACACCAAACAGTCAAATATTAGTAAATCAATACGCTTCGTCTATCAGTGAGTTGCATATTTTGCAAAGGTTTTTCTTTATATTTAAAAAAAAATGTAACTAAATTTGTAATTCTTAATATTTTCGGAAGTAACTGTAACTCAATTACATATTTTCTCATTGTAACTGTAACGAATTACAGTTACTCTTGTTTTGTAATTAAATTACGTAACGTCGTTACATGTAATCCGTTACTCCCCAACACTGCTTAGAGGTGGGCACATTCCTGTGAAAACAGCAGGGCACCTAATTTAAAATGTAGTTCTTCATTTAGACATTTCAATGTAACACAATGACGTGTAATCCTCTGACATCGAGCTCTTTCAACTGGTAGGGGCTTTTTGCTTGCACAA